CTTCTAATGACTGGTCCGATCTGGGGCTCAAGATTACAACGATCTATCCATCTCTCCCTACACACTGTCTGGCACTAACTTACTTACATGTATTTAACCCTCTCATCTGAACAGTCCTGGGAACTGACTTTGCCACATCTGTAGAATTTCACTACGACGTTAGAGATAGCGGGCGCAGAGGAGCAGCAAAGGGGTTAAACTTGTTAATGACTGGTCCGATCTGGGGCTCAAGATTACAACGATCTATCCATCTCTCCCTACACACTGTCTGGCACTAACTTACTTACATGTATTTAACCCTCTCATCTGAACAGTCCTGGGAACTGACTTTGCCACATCTGTAGAATTTCACTACGACGTTAGAGATAGCGGGCGCAGAGGAGCAGCAAAGGGGTTAAACTTGTTTTGCCTGTAAATTGTAGCAAATATCCTTGCTGCATCCTTGCCTAGAGACCAACCAACGTTCCTGGAGCCAATTTAAACAAAAGAAGATGTGACCGAGACAATGAGACTCGATAACTCATTTACGGCAGCTGTAGTCACAAGATCACAAGCACACCTCTGTCTTCAGCAAAACAACACTCATTTTCTGAACAAGTGGCAAATACGTAGGAGTCCCAATTCCCCTTCCTTCAGGAAAAATATCTTAGTTGGCAGGAGCAGAAAGCCATGGAGGTCCTGTCTGCAGGCCTTTTGTTCCATGCGCTCCGATTGTTACAACACCTAAATGTGGCGTATTTCTTACCCGAGGGAATCAGGAGGGAGAGGGCTGTAGCTGAAGCTGATTTAATCACTTTGTTGACAGGTCTCGAGGTACGTTTCTCCCCCGATTCCCCGGAGAGCAACCGGTGCCGGGCCCGCCGCACTGCCAAGTCGCTGATGGCTTTTGGAGTGGTAAAATCAGGACCCTCGTTGCTGTTGCTACGAATGCGCTGATCAGAAAAATCTGTAGTGCCCCCGGCTACAGTTTAAATTAAAATAGATTAGAACCACAGGGAATTCCTAACAGCATTTTCCCCTGCAGGCAAAACGTAGGAAATCAAAGTCGTGTTTACATGTACTCCAACAGTGAGTTATCCTCAGAAGCAAGCCCCGGGCTTGAATGCTTATTTACAGAAACTTATAACCAATGTATGCTGAGAATTACTTGTTTTTCTTTTGCTGGAAGCCAGCTCCTGCAGTAATCATGTTAGATGAAGCCTAACGCTATGGCAGAGTTGTAAAAGTAGTAAGCCATTTAGATAGGATTGTGTCTATATGCAAAGAGCAAGGGGAGGTTTGAGGAAAGTGCTGTCATTTTTATTATCCATAAGAACTGTCAACCTCAAAGGATTATCTGCAACCACTTCACCTGGTTTTATGCTAATTACGTACGACTGGCCATGCTGAGTCAGACCAGTGATCTGTCTAGCCCAGTACCTGCCGGGAGGGCGGGAGAGACACAAGAATGACATTACAAGAATTGAATGAACACGGCAAAGTCAAGAACTCAAAACTGACGAAATGTCAGAATGAAGGTTGCTCGTGCAACCTTCATTCAGCCCCCAAGTGTGTATGAATTATGATGGGAGCCTACACGGACATGATCACATGCTGTTTTCCACAGGATCCTGCCGCAGTCAGAGTGCAGAATGGACAGTGCTCACCAAGTGAGCAGGTGCTGAATGTTATGTTTTGTCGTCTGTGGCCGCAGGGCTGCCTTACTGTTCAAACCCCTGTCCCAAGAGAGAATTATTCATTTCCTCCTAGGTTTCTCTATGGGGCCTATAACTCTAAGAAGTGAGTGCAATGTTCCCTCTAATCTTTTCCATCCATGTGTGGAATAATTCGTATGTGCACCAAGGCATGTGCATCCCCACTAGAAACAAAAAACCTAGCCGGGGCGCTCTGCTAGGCAGCTCGGTGGCATCTGAATCTCTCCTGAGCAGCTGCATAAACTCCTAGCTCACAGGGAACACTGCCTGAGTGCTTCTCATACCACCATAAGGCAGGTCCTTATCCCCATTCTACAGACGAGGAACTGAGGCACAGAGCAATTAAGGTCAAAGGTGGAGTTCCTTGTGAGTGTCCAAACCGAGGAGCTAATTTTCAGAGGACTTGGCATTATACAGCACTTCATATGTTTAGTGGCAACCGAGCACAGCACTTCTGCAACTCAGACCCCGAGTCTCAAGTCAGGGACCAAAAAAACAAGGAACTCCACAATAAGTGACTACCTGTGAAAACTTCGGCTTAAGCAACTGAACTAGCGTCTCATGGGAACTCTGAGGTAGAGATAAAATCCAGTTCTCCAGGGCAGCATTTAGCTATGACCATGACACTGCTTATTCTCTTCCTGTCTCATTCACTCCATACTGTCAACAAAAGACCCAGGGGGTCGTATAGACAATCTCCTTTGCTACTCAACCCTGAGTCAGCCCTGCAGCAGGGCCGGCCTGTACACTGCACGAGAAAGGGGCCCTGTGCACAATATTATATGCGACCATGTAATTAAAGATTGTTATAATGCAAATGCACAAGGGAGCCAAATTAAGGTTACAACCTCAATTCTGCCATGTTCTAGCTTTGGAGGGCTTGACTTTGCAATGGCAATAACGCTGTTAACAGGTTTGTGTAGGTAATTTCCAAGGGTTTGTTTTAGAAAGAACGCTGAAAAACCAAACTGTCACGTGACATCGTATCAACCCCCATTGCAGGGTTGGGACCTTTAGATCCACGGCCCAGCCCCGTTACTTGACTAAAGGAGAGGATATCTGTCATCCTCGGGGTGGCTCACCAGTAACGGGGCATGAGTCGCTTTCCTGGCGGGGTTCAAAGACATTTGCAGCAGAGGAAAAGTCAGACGGAGAACTCTCGATCGCATTGCAGGCTCTGTACGGGACTGTGCTCCAGTGACAGGCTCACTTCCTCCGAGATTCCCCCCTTCTGCCCCTGTGCCAGTCCTGTCTCCTCCCTCGCTTGGCCCCATTCCCTTCACCCCAGCCAGCCTTGGTCTCCAGCTCTCTGGCTTCTCAGCCCATTCCCATTCTACATCTCATCCCTTTTTACTCTCCATCGGAATCCCCTCTCCCCACCCGCTTTTTCCTGTTTCCCCCGAGCTCCTTCCCCGTCAGCCTCAGCTCTCCCCCATGTACTCTTGCTCCTTAGCTGACCTCTCCCATCGTCTCCTTCTCCCTGCTCCACTGAGTCTCACTCTCCAACACCTAACCCGGCAAGTCCCAGTCCCACCCCCCAGGCTCCTCATTGGATTTCAGTCTCCCCCACACACTGGCTCCTATTACCCCCCCGCACACAGATGTGGTCACCTCATCTCAAAAAAGATATACTGGCATTGGAAAAGGTTCAGAAGAGGGCAACTAAAATAATCAGAGGTTTGGAACGGGTCCCATATGAAGAGAGATCAAAAAGACTGGGACTTTTCAGCTTAGAAAAGAGGAGACTAAAGGGGGATATCATAAAAGTCTATAAAATCATGACTGGTATGGAAAAAGGGAATAAGGAAAAGTTATTTACATATTCTCACAATATAAGAACTAGAGGTCACCAAGTGAAATGAATAGGCAGCAGGTTTAAAACAAACAGAAGGAAGGTTTTCTTCACTCAGTGCACAGTCAACCTGTGGAACTCCTTGCCAGAGGATATGGTGAAGTCTAGGACTTTAACAGGATTCAAAAAAGAGCTGGATAGATTCATGGAGGTTAGGTCCATCAGTGGCAATTAGCCAGGATGGGTAGGAACAGTGTCCCTAGCCTCTGTTTGTCTGGAAATGGGTGACAGGGGAAGGATCATGTGAGGATTAGTTGTGTTCCCACCCTCTGGGGCATCTGGTATTGGCCAGTGTGGCAGACAGGACACTGGACTGGATGGACCTTTGCTCTGACTCAGTGTGGCCGTTCTTATATTCTCATTTCACCCTCTGCATCCTCCTCCCAGTCTCCTTGCCTAGCCAGTCACAGCCCTCTCCCATTCAGTCCCACTGCCCACCCCTGCTCCCAGGCTCCCCCATAACTGAGCTCCCAGTCCCAGTCATTCTCTCTCCTCCACGACCTCCAGTCCCATTTCCTGCCCCACCCCAGCTCCTTCTCCCCATCTCCCCCGCCCCCCACCCCAGGTGCTGCTCTTGGCCTCTCTGTTTTCAGATCAGGCTGTCTCCTTCTCTGTACTGTCTGGGCTCAGCATGGGGCTCACTGAAAGCACCGCAAAGACACCCCCTGATCTGAAGCCTGGGGCCTGCACCCGGCGCAGCCCCAGGCTGCAGTGTCAGACAGTCCTGCTCAGCCCTAGGCTGGAGCATGTCCCACGCAGATGGAACGTTCTGAGAAATCGAGACGGTCTCTACTGAGCATGTGCAAACTGCAAGTTTTTAATGGCCCAGTGTGGATGGGTTTTCAGTCAGAGGGCAAAGGGCATATCGCTGACGCAAAGGCCCCCCTCCTGTCAAAGAGCAAGTCCCTGTTCCAAATGAAGGGAGGTGCTAGAGCTTTTCAAAGAAAAGCTTACCAGAATGTTTTCAACCTGGGGAAAATAACGTCATTTTCCTCTCACCGAACGCTTGGAAACAACGGAAGTATTTTTGCTACAAGTCTCCTAAAATGTCAGCCTGAGGCAGACAGCTGGCGTGGAGAATTTCAGCCCTAACACTTAGAGTTGTGTAGAGTTATAGCAATTGAAACCAGGGCGTTATAAATGTCAGGCAACCTTGCCAAGCGAGAGGCAGGAGTAGACTGAAGTAAAGCAAACAAGATTAAAAAGCTAAAACAGCTTGAAAGAAGCAGACGAAAACAGAGCACCTTCCTTGTGCGCTTTGTGTCATATAATGCCCGCAGAAGCTGCTACCCTTACGACATTTGAGTGCAGCGAATATTGACACCTCAAAATGAGCCTCCTGAGAGCAGGGAGGCCATCTTAGCGGCTGTGTACCTGACAGGGTTGAGCTGCTGATGTTGCTGGTGGTTGAAGAGGGTGTTGTTGGCCCAGCGTCCTCATCCAAGTGCTGTTCTCGCTCTACAGGTTGTTCTAGAATAGGTAGTGGGTGCCCTTCACGTGACTGTACGGCCGACAGTAACGTTCCATCTGACTGTTGCTTTTTGGGGGCGAGTCCTTCTTCCTCGGCTGAGATGGCAAAGCGGGGCATGTCGAGCAGCCCTGAACAGCGCCGCCGAACAGTGAGCGGTGGACTGGAGTCGCTCTCTGTGTGCGAGGACTCAGACATGGACAAGCGCTTACGGAGTCTGAGAGAAAAAGCAGGACTAGGTCACTGGGGTTTGTTATGGTCATTAACAATGCCAAAGGGCAAGCGGTTGGTATTCGTACATAAGCATGGACTAGTGAAAGTAAGCTCAAGCCAAAACAATATGAATCGCCTCAAGCAGCCCAATTTGGGGGAGGACCTGGGCCGTGGGATGCGAAGGAGGCTTGCTTAGGGTTGTTGGCTGGGCCGTTAAAAGTTATGACTATTTGCAAAAGTCAGATCTGGATTGTCTGCCCTACTTAACTTTTTAAGTTAAGTACAAAACCAAGCAAAATACAATGCCTTGAAGCCAACAAATTATTACAACAATCGTTATTACGAAAGGGGGCAAAGAAATGCAAACAGGTGTACCTATCGCCTTATGCTTTCACCTGCTATTTTTTCTTTAGAATAATTTTATAATAATGTTTTACGCAAGAAAGGCCTGAGCAGAACCAGGGCATGTTAGTTACGTGTATAATCTATCAAGTGTTTCTAATAACGGTGTTCGGTAGGAAATGCATGCTAGATCACAACCACATTAAACGCCTCCACACGACACCGGGTTGTAGCACACGATACCCCATTCTGTAATGTGTGTAGCTCTTTTCTCCATAAGCTGAACCTGGCAATTATTTCAGTCCTCCTGGGCACAAGGGAGGTGGGTTGCAGTTTTGTTTACTGAGCATTATTCCATTTTTCTAACAGCAGAGCTGACAGGACACGATGATTTCTGGCATTCATAATTGTGGAAAGACAAGAGAGGAAGTGGGCCGAACTGGATCATGAGCCCCTGGAAGTTCAGAGATGTCTGGATGGGGCATTTTGGTTCAGGCACATCTCTGAGATGCTATTCGAAAGAATGAAGCTTTGCTGAGGGGCAGAATACCTTTTACTTGATTTTAAATATGCATTGTAAGCTAACAATGCTAGAGCTTAATGAGATGCTTTTAAGTAGTACAGAGATTTTATACTTAATTGCAGCTATTTATCCACCTCTTCTGACTCTGCCCTTCTATCATATGAAGAGTTTCTAATGTCCAAGCAGATTGGGGGAGGAGGGGACCACAAATCCTCCTCCTTTGTGACTAAATAAAAGTAGTTGTCTACTAAACTCACATTTCTGGAGAGCCAATCACCCAGCTGCGGTCCCGACTTTTCAGACCCCCAAGGCTGTCTAGACGATCATCTTTTTCCTCACTCAGGCTGCGCTTAGTTGGTGGGGTTTTCCTCTCTTCGTGGATGGAAAGACGTTCCATACTGCTGTATACCTGTGGACAGCAAGATCCAGCGCCGTGAAGCACGTAGTAAACAGTCCTGCAAGCCCGTCTCTAACCAACGGGTATTTCTCTCCCAGAATGGAAGCTAGGTTGAAAACCTGCACTTGGCACTGCTCTTTGCTTTGCTAATGTAGGACCCAGCCCAGATGCAATATGCTCAGTCGGTGTACACCAGGGAGAAGGGAAGAGGCAAGTTTTGGAACTGTCAGCTAGGCCCTTCTGCGGTAACACCTGCCAGCTGCATTCTGGTCACAGTGTGCTGTGGAGCTACAAAAGCCATGTGGATACTAAAATTTAAGATAAGTTGCTTACACAAGCTCTACAAGTGCTGCAAGCTGTCATTGAGATCTTGACATCTTACCGCACAAACTCAAGTCCATGTCCTGCGGCGGACTTAATTTCATTTTGTGGTTCTACCAAACCTTTTCTAACAAAAGCAAAGGGAAAATTCCTTCTCCCTTTAAAGAATGTGCTGCGGCAATCAATATGCATCCTTGAGCCATACAGTGGTATTTTAAATAATTAAACAATTAACCACAAAAAATCCATGCTTTTAAAATGGTATTTGATTGTGGACCTGATTTGCATAGACAAGATTAATAAAAATGCTGTTATTAAAAATTCAGCACCTCAACAAGAAAGTTATTAATAATTTACTGGACTGATCTGTCAGACAAGATTTTCAAAATATAACGAGCTACAGATGATGTCGCATTTGCTGGATTTTAACAGAAATGTATGGCAGTGAACTTGCTGTCTTTGGGTGCATCTACATTGTACCGTTATTTCGAGATAACTAGTGTTATTTCAAAATAACAATGCGCACGTCTACACAGGCATTCCATTATTTCAAAATAATTTCAAAATAATGGATGGCTTATTCCGAAATCTGTAAACCTCACTATGAGGAATAATGCCTATTCCGAAATATCTACGTCAAAATAAAGCATGTGTGGACGCTTCACTGCTGCTATTTTGAAATAGTCCCTCATCAGGGCCATTCTAAGTTATTCCTCCCCACTGCCTCCTGGGGCTCTAAATCGAGATAGCATGTTTACATTGGGGAAGCCTGCCTCGGACTAATTTTGAGGATCTCCTGCAGTGTAGATGTGCTATTTCAAAATAAGCTATTTCGGAATAACTATTCCGGAATAGCTTATTTCAAAATAAATGTGCAGTGTAGATGTACCCTTTGTGTCCAAAATACTGACGTTGCAGCTTAGAGATGAATTGCTATGAATAACAGGTGGATCCAGCGGAAAAGGAAATAAAGATTTATGGAACTGTAAAAACCTGATAAAGATCCCAACTAATTCTCAGGTCTAATTTCAGTCTTATTTAATAGGGATGTAAACCAGGAGCAACCCCACAGACGTTCATGGAGTGACATCTAGTTAGACCCGTGTGATACCTGACACAGGTGCCCAGAGAAGGTCGGAGGTGCATTCTAGTAGAGTAGTGAAAGATAGTACCTTTCACTGTTCTAAAAAGGAGAGTGATAAACTGTTCTTCATGTCCACTGAAGGTACGGCAAGAAGTAATGGGCTTTACTGCAGCAAGAGAGATTTAGGTTAGCTGTTAAGAAAAACTTTCTAACTACAAGGGAAATTCAGTTCTGGAACAGGCTTCCCAGGAAGGCTGTGGACTCTCCAGCAGTGGATGTGTTGAACAACAGGCTGAACAAAGATCTGCCAGGGATGGCCTAGGTTTACTTGGCCTGCCTCAGGGTATGGCACTGGATGTGCTAACCTCTCCTGGTCCCTTCCAGCCCTACATTTCTATGATGCTATGATACAGGGGACTGTACGTAATACTTAGTAACAAGAACAGGCCCAGGAAGGAGGGACGATTTCTTTGTATTTTACAAGTTCAGGTTTGTTTACATGCATGGGGAAAGTGTTTGGGCGTCATATGGAGCCCCTCACAAACTGGACTTGTCTTCTTATTTAATAATAATAGTTGAGCTATTCAGAGACCTCTGGCAGCCCATCTGCTCTTTCAGGAATAGTCTAAGACAGTGTTTCCAGTTGGTGCTCCGTGGAACCCAGGGTTCCGCAAAGCGAAAGTAAGGGTTCAGCGAGAATGCGGCATTACCCCGCCCCCTCTTAAAGAGACAGAGTATTTTGCAGGTCTTTTTGCTTAACCAAATTTTTTTTTTTTGCTTGCCAAATTTTACTCTGGGAACCCTAGGGGTTCCTTGAAATTATTTTAAGCTGAAAAGGGTTCCGTGGCCAAATAAAATCAGGAAACACTGGTCTAAGAGAAAGGTTTGCAATACTACCAAGTGAACAAAGTCCATTGCTAAGATAAACTACTGCAGTACAGACAGCTGGGACATATCATGGTGCACTGCCCTTCCTATCTAAACCATTACACTTCAATGAGTGCTAAAGACTTTGTGGTCCCTTCATTTTATTTCAACACTTTTTTTTTTTTTTTAAGGACAACTTACGACTAACAGAAAAAAAATAACATTTTAAACAAGCCAGTACACGCCCTTACCTTACTGAACCGTGGGGAGCAAGATGAGAACTGCCTAATTTCTACATGATCATCATCATTTGTGTCTTCATCTTCTTCTGAATCTACATGTTGGTACCGTTCAGAGCGAGCTAGGAACAAAGGTACAAATCACAGTATAATTAACCAGCACCTAGAGAGTCCGTGCCCTTTATATTTTCTATAAAGTATATCAAACAATAACTGAGGCTCTCAGGATCAGTCTGCACAAAGCAATTCCTATTTGTCCAGCTGAAAAGGTTGCTTGTCGTAAAACTGAGTATTTTTGATCATGAAGAATATCTTCAGTAAAACCGTGCATGCGTACAGACTTCAAATATACCAAATTCTGATCTTCCTATTCCTTTATACATATATTAGGGATGTTAGCTATTGGATATTTGAATAAATGTGTAACCACTTGAAATGTTAGCAGTTACACACGGGGGATGGGAAGGCAGGAGCCGGTGTTTGTGGGGAGCAGGTTCCTGCCTGCCCTCCCCTGCTGCCTCTGTGGGAGGCAGAAGGGGAAGCAGGGAGCCGGCGGCTCAGTGGAGCCGGCATGCGCAGAGAGCAGGCTTAGAAGCTGGCTCCCCATGTGTGCCAACTCCTGCCTCTTTTCCCTTGCTGCCTCTAATATAGAGGCAGTGGGAGGGGAGGGGGACATGTGCATAATCAACAAGATTAACTGGTAAGTCCAGGCTTATCGGTTAATTGTGTATTCGACTATCCACTGACATCCCCAACATGTACTACACCTCAGACATATTACACTGTAAAAGTGACTGATCCTCAGCAGAGGATATAGATGGGCCCGATTCTAGTCATCGTAAGTACTAAACATATTGCTTACTCACACAAAGAGCCCTATTAAAGGAAATGGGAAGGCAGTTTACTCTGTCTTGCTATTTTCAATGTAACGGAGTTAGTACTGCACAAAGTTTTTGTGACACATTTATTTAAAAACTATTCCTCTTCTCCCACCCACCAATGGCAAGCTATTTCTAAGTGCCCACCCAAAAATATTTTGGAGCTCTGTGATCATAAATCAGCCAAATGTAAATGTTTACAATTTGGGAAGGGAAATAAAGAGGAAGAGACCCCCAGGCTGAACCATCTTTGCTGCATGGCATCAGCCAGAAAGGACTTCTTTCAAGAGTTATAAATCTCTGTAAACAAGGGCTTTTGATAGTAATGCCATCTCAGGTTTCTGGTGTCCATATAAAGATCCTCTATGACAGGAGAATTCTCCCCAGCACAGGACTCGTGCCATGGAATTCCTCTATCCAGCTGAGCATGCCCGGGCATCGGTTGCTGTCTGCACAGCTTGTCAACGCTAGGACTTGCTAGAAAAATAACAAGGCATTTCTACCCCCAGGGAATGAGCTCAATGCCCTTGCACTATACCCCTCTGTCACTGGTCCAGAACCAAAGGGCTAGAGGCTGAGGTCTAGTATGATCACCCCAGTGCACTAGACAGCCATGTTCTAACCACAGGATTTCAACCAGCGCCACTACAGTAAGGTACTGTACCCTCACAGTGAAAACGGTTGCAATAAGTCCTGATCGACTGCAACGGATCTTTCCTTCCCACTCATATGTGGGGAAACTGTGAAAAACTAATATCCCCCCAAAGCTGTAGAGCAGAAACACGCAAGTGGAGTGGAAAAGGCATCACTTCTGATGTGCTTGGTCGCAGTCATTTTTTAATATTGCCCAGCACGGTGATTGTCATGTGAACAGAATGTGGAGACAACAAAAAATGCCTCCCCATACACAGCTAAATACCTCTGTAAATGAAGTAACATTTTTCCAAGGAATTTTTTGATAACCCTGTGGAACAGGATATAACTTGGTCACCGATACCAACGAAGCATGGAATAATTTTCATGCAATTCTGATTCATTTCCAAACTAACTCCTCTCTCGGGACTCAGTGTGGGACTTTTTATGAAATCTAAATTAAATATATTTTATTAAGTTGGTGATAATTTTTATGAAGCAACTGACAAAATATAAAGTAACTATACATAAGAAATGGGGCCCATGGTGCAAATGAGACAGCCCATGCTGCGTCGGATGCTCTTTTTCCTTACTGTCAAAGTAGCTAGTGTCATCCTCGGATTCCAGCTGTGGAATAAATTCTGCTTTCTGTCGAAGTAATCCATTCCAGTCTAGATCTTTAAAGAACCGGTGCTCTTTCACCTCATAGGCACTACCTGAAAGGAAGGTATTGTTTTAACATTGCTCTCACATAGCAGGACATTCTCAAGGCACAGGAGAAAATACAAACGTACACTCATCTAACACCCATTTTCTGAGAATCATAGGGAACTCAATTTGGGTTCTTTGTCAATGTTGTGATGACAGATAAAAACAGCACAACAATCTCCTCCTTTCCCCCTAAATGTAACCACAACACATGCCTATATTGGCTAGGAAGGAACATCTCCAATATAATTCTGAAGTGTAAGTCTCAAGAGTGAAAACAAATTAACATCTTAAGTAAAAACATTTCAATGCTATATTGTTCACACCAAGTGTATGTGCAGTTTTTGCCCCTCGTTCAGCAAAGCTCTTGAAGGTATGAGTACTTCCACTGAATTCAATAGCGTTAAAATTAGGCTTGTGTTTAAAAATATCTGCTTGAATCACAACCTTTGTTGGTCAGCTCTGGGGCTTGAACACTCAAAGAAAACAAAATTAAAGAATCATTTTCCTGCCGCGGTGTGGATGTTTTAAATGAAACTACTGTTCATATTTGTCCACAGAAAAGTCATGGTATGAGAGAAGAAAAGTGTTGTGTTTTTTTGTTTTTTTAAACAAAGTGTGTGGGGGGGGATAAGAAGGACAATCCAGGAAACTACAGACCGGTCAGCCTCACCTCAGTCCCTGGAAAAATCATGGAGGGGATCCTCAAGGAATCCATTCTGAAGCACTTGGAAGAGGGGAAAGTGATCAGGAATAGTCAACATGGATTCACAAAGGGCAAGTCATGCCTGACCAACTTGATTGCCTTCTATGATGAGGTAACTGGCTCTGTGGACATGGGGAAGTCAGTGGATGTGACATACCTTGACTTTAGCAAAGCTTTTTATATGCTCTCCCACAGTATTCTTGACAGCATGTTAAGGAAATAAGGATTGGATAAAAAGACTATACGGTGGATAGAAAACTAGCTATATTGTCAGGCCCACTGGGTAGTGATCAATGGCTCAATGTCTGGTTGGCTGTTGGTTTCAAGCAGAGTGCCCCAAGGATCGGTTCTAAGGCCGGTTTTGTTCACCATCTTACTTGATGACCTGGATGAGGGGATGGGTTGCATCCTCAGCAAGTTTGCGGATAACACTAAGCTAGGGGCAGAGGTAGATACACTAGAGGGCATGGACAGGGTCTAGAGTGACCTAGACAAATTAGAGGATTGGGCCAAAAGAAATCTGATGAGGTTCAACAAGGACAAGTGCAGAGTCCTGCACTTGGGACGGAAGAATCCCAAGCATTGTTACAGGCTGGGGACTGACTGGCTAAGCAGCAGTTTGCAGAAAAGGACCTGGGTATAACAATGGATGAGAAGCTGGATACGAGTCAACACGATGCCCTTGTAGCCAAGAAAGCTAATGGCTTACTAGGATGCTTTAGGAGGAGCATTGCCAGCAGATCTACAGAAGTTATTATTCTCCTTATTCAGCACTGGTGAGGCCACAGCTGGAATATTGTGTCCAGTTCTGGGTTCCCCACTACAGAAAGGATATGGACGCATTGGAGAGGGTCCAGCGGAGGGCAAACAAAATGATGAGGGGGCTGGAGCACATGACCTACAAGGAGAAGCTGAGGGATTTAGTCTCTAGAAGAGAAAATTGAGGGAGGATTTGACAGCAGCCTTCAACTCCCTGAAAGGGGGTTCCAAAGAGGATGGCGAGAGGCTGTTCTCAGTGGTGGCAGATGGCAGAACAAGGAGCAATGGTCTCAAGTTGCAGTGGTGGAGGTCTAGGTTGGGTATTAGAAAAACCTATTTCACTAGGGGGGTGGTGAAACACTGGGATGGGTTCCCTAGAGAGGGGGTGGAGTCTCCATCCCTAGAGGTTTTTAAGTCCTGGCTTGACAGAGCCCTGGCTGGGATGATTGAGTTGGGGTTGGTCCTGCTTTGGGCAGCGGGCTGGATTCGATGACTCCTGAGGTCTCTTCCAGCCCTGGGGGTCTATGATTCTAAGGTTTGGTGGATGAAAGCAAAGCAAAGACACCCACTGTGGTGGCAGTTTTGGACATCCCTATGCCCTAAGGTATCTGTCCACCAGCAACTGAAACAAATCCACAATTTTACATACAACAAAGCACATCATTAAGATGGCAATTACTTTCAGCCACCGCCAGCAGGGGCTAGATTTGAGCGGGAGATCGCTGTCTCAGAGAAGCTTCACTTCACATTGTCACCCAGCCACGAAAGGTGCACTCTGACATTGTGCTGTATCACCATTTTTAAAGGCTATGTATAAATTAAGTTGCTAATTTCAATGAAATGCAAAACCGAACCAAACACAAAGAGTTAATGAAAAAGAGGAACTGTGCCACGAAACTGCAAAGGCAGGAATTGTTGAAACGGGAGTCACATGTGGAAGTTAGCTGAAAGCGTCTATGGCCTTTAAAAGGGAAAGCCCGAGATTGCAAAGGCTTAAATCTGACCATACATTGCTTGCAGATATTCTTAATCACTTGAAATTTCCCAGTAGACTTCAGGTTCTTGGATTTTAGGGGATTATATAGCGGAGTGTTGTTGCCAATGTTTTTAGTTTATTGTTCACTTATAGTGTGGTTATGATTAACTGGCATATGTCATATATAATCCTTGCATGTTCAATAGCACTAAATTGTAGAATTATAGACATATAAAATTGATCAGTAGGCAGAGAGATACCTAACTTATTTATTCTAAGTAAAAAGGGCTGAAACACAAGGTCTGTATGCTGAGGCCTGATGATTACAGCTTAGCCACACAAGACCACAGAGATAAGAAATACTGACATAAGAGACTGAAGGATATCCCAGTGCCCTAAAATGATGGGGAAAGAGGTACAGTCAAAGCTGTGTACTTCGACACTCAGTTAAGCAGAAAGCTCAATTAACCGGCATGTCTGATATCTCCCAATTCAAATTTCCATCTAGTAACGGGGACTAGGATGCAGCCCAGCACATTAGGCAATTGCACACTTGGCACTCTGCTTTTATGCAAAAGAGGCAGAAGACAAGTCGTCAAGTTGAAACCAGAGATTTATTCAAAGAAAATAGCTTCCCAGGTGTGTGAATCTGTAATGACCATGACACAATCTCCTCCACCTTCTACATGGACTATGTTAGTTTTGCTCAGAGGAGTAGCTGGGTTAGTCTGTGACGTTAAAAACAACGAGCAGTCCTGTGGCACCGTAGAGACTAACCCATGAGCTTCCGTGGGTAAAACCTACATCTGATGAAGTGGGTTTTACCCTCGAAAACTCATAACATATGCAATGCTCTCTAAGGTGCCACAGGACTGCTCGTCACTTTTAATGATAATCGATGTTGATAATGATGTCCCTGAGGCACCGCAAGATCATTAAGTGCCTTCTGAATCAAAGAAAGATTAAATTATGTACGGTCTAGTTTTAGCCTCGTGTATTTTTAGACACCTGGGTTTACGCCAGGCACTGTCTGTGTAACATCATAAGATAAAATTTTCAGTGCAGTAGGTGACCTGTATACACACAAGTGCTTAAAGAAACCAACCGCTTTGCAGTGTAGTATAACTATGTAACTCATGCATAGATCTGCATGCTTGGTAACCATGACTTCAATAAAACTTGCAAAACAGAGAGACCTTGTACTTTGCAATTTACGCGTGGTCTTTGTGTGTTCCTAGAGACCCTAAATCAGAAGCAAGTCGCAGAGGCGACTTCCATCCTATTAAGCCTGAAACTGTAGCCACCAGAGCTGAACTCTGCATTACATAATTGACTTTAAATAAAATACAAGACTAAAGGGCCCACAGCTAAAGGAAAACGTTGTTTTGTTATGCTGGCAATTGCTCATCAATGTGGAGAGTCACTTTCCTTACCAAAGAGAATTTCATTCAAAATCTGTTTGAATCAGCAGTTCTCTAACTGTCTGGCCTGTGGCCCACCTGGCTCAAAGCAAACTTTTCAGCAGACCACCAGTTGCTAATGGAAACTCACCATGAATTACATAATTTCACCCGAGCCGTTTTGCTAGTGCTGCAGCTGAGGAGAACGGTGTAATTTAACCAGTAAGAAAGGAAATACGAACTTAAATTATAAACCAGATAAAGGGCTTTAACTTCTCATGTTAATCAAACTTCATTTTAAATAAAGTAAAATATTAATTTATGACCAACACAAAAGGTTCCCATGTTTTCTTTATTTATGGCAGGGGTGGGGAACCTTTTTTGGGTTGGGGCCACTAACCCACAGAAAAATCAGTTGGGGACCACACAAGAAGCAAAAAAAAAAACCTCCAAAAACCACCAGACCTCATTGATGTGGTCCCCAACTGACACTTCACCCCTCTGGTGCGCCAGCACCACAGGGGGAAGAGGAGGGAGGACTGAGGTTCAAGGCTTTCCATAGGCCAGATCTACTCTTCTGGGGTTCCAGGATTAGCGGATTTTGTGGACCCCCCTCCCCCCAGGCTCTGGGGTGGGGACAAAAATGAGGAGTTCAGTGTGCAGGACAGGGCTGCCTGTGAGTGGGATAGGGTGGGGGTGCAGGATCAGTGTGGGAGGTGGAGTGCAGGAGGGGGTGAGAGTACGAGGTCTGGATGGCAGGTAGGGAGGAGGAGCAGGGCAGGGTAGTTGTCTGTAGGTGCCGCCTCCAGGCAGCACGTCCTCATGCAGCTGTTCCCGGGAGGGGGAGCATCAGTGTGCAGATTGGCTTCTGGCTCTGCTTCTTCCCCGTGAGCCAGATCACTCAGCGAGGCTTGGGGTTTTCTCCACCACCCCCCACAGCAGAAAGCCAGTGCTGTCTCTCCAACCTTCCGGTGGGGGGACTCGAGGCTGGAGTGCGAAGTATAGGCTCCCTGCTGCAGGGGAAGGAATAGGGGAGGAGCTGAGCCCAAGCCACGGACCACCTGGAAGGCAGAGGTCCGCAGACCACAGATTGAGAACCACTGGTTTCAACAATACTCAGAGACAAACAGAGGTATTTCCCTGACACTCGCACATTTCACATGGATTCTGATCACTCTGTCCCCGAGGACAGAAAGCTGTTGAGACTATCACTAAACACAACACACACTGTTGATATCACAAAGCCAACATTTCACACAACAGTACAGTGATGCCACCAGCAGCTTTTTATTGCTTCTGATGAGTGTTTTCACAAGAATATGCCCGTACCTGTTCCCAGTCTTTCCAGAGGGTTTTGACAGAGAAGTTTAGCGGTGAGGTCCTGGGCATCTGGAGGTAATGCCTCATCCCCTTCCGGCCAGGCAATTTCATCTGAGGAGAGACAGCAATTTGAAAAAGGCAAATCTCTAAGACATATCATGAAATCCACAAATGCTTCTACCCAAGAGGAAGTGGTACACTCTCCCACAGCACGATTGGAATGAGTTTGCATTCAGCCCCACGAGTACTTGTCATTCAAGAGCTGACTTTTCCAAAACGCATATAAATTCAGTACTCACCATAGCTGCGTCAATGCACACAGTAATTGTTGGAACAAAAGTATAAGAACTTTAATACATGATAATGTAATAATGATCGTTTATAGCAACACAAAGAATGACTAGGGTGCAGCTGTATCTCATACCCACTCATTTAGGGTAACAATTTTAATCATTAGCTAGCACACATACCCAGGGTTGCTCTTGGGTCCTTCATTGATTTTTTTTTTTTAAATAAAAGGAAAAGGCTGTTGCTTTATTTAAATGATTGTATTTTTTTTATCACGGTGTTATTTTGACAATGTTAGTTTTTATTTCAGATTACTTAAAAAAAGGGACTTAACATTTTTCCATGTAATTGTTTTTTAGTACTTTTCTTTTTAAATGGGAATTCCATCAAGTGTGTTTTTTCTTCATCACTATAAACTCTTATCATTTGCTAGGTTTTAACCAAAAAGGGTGATAGTCAATGTGGTTTGCACCAACATTTTCTTCTAATTTTCAAACCTTAAGCACCTTTTTATCTCTTTTCTGTAAGGTTTATTGAGAGGCAAGCCTATTCCAGCTGCATCCTTATTTCTTTTATACGCTAAATTTCTCCTTGCACTATGCATAGTGATAGAGGTCTTGTACATATATACAGATGACGGTGTAAGTAAAGAAAGTTAAGAGCTTTGAGCATGGGCGGTCGGTGATGGTAGGGCTGGGGGGACGGAAGCCCCCAGCCCCAGCCCAACCCCACCCCTTCTGCTGAGGTCCCGCCCCCATGGGAGCCAAGCCGCTTCCCCACCCCCACCACATGGAAGCAGGGCAGCACACCGTGCGCACCCATCACCATCCTGAGGGAAGCACAGGTGAGTGCATGCGCCCCAGCCCCAGAGCACAGGGAGGGAGGAGGGCACATGGCCCTAGCCTCCCTGGCTCTGGAGCATAGGGAGGACTGTTGGCGCAGGGCTCCAGCCTCCCCAGCCAGGAGCACTGGCACTGGGGGCAGCAATGCTCCACCCCTAGATGCCTACAATAGGCATTCTGGGGGCAGAGCCAGGCTGGTGGCTTGGGAAGGCAACGCCTTCTCCTGCCTAGCACACCAGCTGCCCATGGCTTTGAGCAGCTGTGCCGAGTTACCAAAAAGGGAATATCAAACTAGTTCTTCTACAATTAAGTCGGTTTCGTAAGTGGTCTTTCTTCACTGAAGTACAGCAGATTTCAAGTTTCTCAGGCACTCAGTGAGCTGCTAACAGTAATCCCTCCAGAGACAGGATACACACACTTACCGCTGATCACCTGTCCAAACAGCTCTTCTGGTGTGTCACCAAAGAAAGGGACGCAGCCAACCAAAAACTCATACAGGATAACTCCCATGGCCCACCAATCCACAGGCTTTCCATACCCCTGCCGCAAGATCACTTCCGGGGCAATGTATTCTGGAGTCCCACACACCTGAAGATGGACGGACAGAAAGGAAACTGCTAATTTACCAACTGCCAGAGTTAGAAGCCAAGTTCTTTCTACCGAATTCTTCTTCCGCTGCCTCAGCCAGAGCCGGTGGTGATTTCTGTCATTAACACAGCCCTTGCCACATGGAAATAGCCCCCAGTTAGTGACAGCCAGACTAGATACACTTGCATAACCTGTCACAGATCTCCACATTCAGCATTTCTTTAGGGATGGAAAACTCCTGATTAACCAGTTAACTGGTTAAGCGTTAAGTTACCCTAATGTTTAATCTACAAAACGGGATGCAGCCCTGGAGCTGGGGCTGCTGCTGCCACTGGTAGCAGGAGGCTTGTAGCCCAGTCCCAGGACTGGAGCTGCTGGTGGCAGGAGGCTCCTGGCCCCGGAGCTTGGGCTGCTGCTGCTGCCAGCTCCAGTCCTGGGGGGCTGCTGCTGTTGGTAGCAGGAGGCTCCCAGACCCACGTTTGGGGCTGTTGCCAGCTCCCAGCCCCTTTGGGGCAGCCTTGGGGGTGGGCTACTCCCAGGCACAAGGTAACCCTGCTCATACCCCTAATATGAATTGTTCAATTTTCCATCCATGGCTTTGGTACAATTTAGACCAGAACTTTGAAATCCTGAACTCTTGACTAAAAGTGTGTCTGTGCAGAAATAAAGGTAAAATTCTGCCAAAGAACATTAATTGTGCAGAATCAGATGAAATTCTTGTGTCTTCATCATTCATCACATACCACAGTGTCAGGTGGATTTCTACAGACCCTTTGATTCTCTCACAAAGGGCCTCAACCTATACTATATATAGTTTCATTAGTTTAACTGTACTCAGCACTTGCATCACTTCCCAGCAGTGTGCCTAGCTGAACCATGATCTGCTTATATTTACAGGTCATAAAAATCTTCTCTCACTGAAAACATCAGTCTCAATCGATGCACCTGAAATAGGTCTACAAAACGCTGTGGAGATTCGCGGATTCAAAGTTGTAATTGTTTTAGAAAAAGCATTCTTCAGCTTACCTGCTTATCCACAAACTCTCTTGCATCTTTCTCAATGTGGCCTTCATACAGATTAGTTGTGAGACTCATTAACCCAATTTTAGAGAGTCCAAAATCTGTTAGCTTAATGTGGCCCATGGATGTTATCAGAAGACTGGGGAAAAGAGGAAGGAAAATAATTCAGTATTCACTGCTATCCTTACAGAAAGCAATGAGCAAAGCAGATCCCGCTGTCATGACATGGCATTGTCTAGCAAAATATCTCAGATAGACGGTGTGTTTGTGATTGTGTGCATTCCACAACTAAAGAGGGATGAATGAGATCAAGACAGCTGGGAAATCAAACTGTTTCTGGGCTGTTTTCAGGTCTTTGAATGGAGTGTTTGCAGTGTGGTAGCCAGACTCACCCCGAGGAAACATCACAACATGAAGAAAGGAGCCATAGTGAACAGCGCCATTCTCTGACCAGATTCAGGAAACAAAACCTCATCCCCAAAGGACTGACTCACTACAAACCTCTAATCGCGACACAAAACTCTGGAGAACTGAGGAAGTTGTGAGTAGCTACAAAGCTTTTCCTTTCCTCCAACAGAAGTCGTTCCAATAAACAATATTACCTCACCTAACTTCTCTCTCTCTCATTTGAACAGAATGTTATTATAAGCTGTCTTTCTTTCCATGCTTAATCTTCGGTCTTATCAGAACAGTTAAGTGCTGTCCTGGCTTTTATCCCATTCAGCCCAACATCCCTACAATGATGGGCTTTTGTTAACTTTTGTACCTGCATTTTTAGGGATTTTTGCTGAATCAGGGTAGAGAGATCTGGCTGTTTGCAGTGCACCTCCTACATAAGCCATGGAAGCATGCACGATTGCTGAGCTAAATTTAGGACATGTTCTGGGAAGCAGCAATTCTGACAAAGAACGTGAGGTTGTGGTGGATAATCAGCTGAACTGAAGCTTCCAGTGTGACGCCACGAGTGAAAGAACTAACGAGATCCTCGGAAGCATAAACACGGGATTCCCAAGCAGGAGTAGGGAGGTTACATTTCCTCTGTGTTTGGCACTGGAGTGACCACTGCTGGAACACTGGGTCCAGTTCTAGTGCCACAGCTCAAGAAGGATGTTGATAAACTGGAGAGGGGTCAGAAAGAGTCATGAGAATGGTGAAAACATTAGAAACCCTGCCTCACAATGTTGGACCTGTTTATCTGAACAAAGAGAAGGTTATGGGTTGAGTCTATAAATTCCTATAAGTTGAGTGTACAAGTCCCTAAATTTGGAACAAATATTTAACAATGGGCTCTTCAGTCTATTCGAGAAAGGTCTAATGTGATCCAATGGCAAGAAGTTGGAAGCTAGACAAATTCAGTCTGGAAATAAGGCCTACATAAGACAAACATCTGTCAGGGATGGTCTATATGGGTCTGGTCCTGCCATGAGGGCAGGGGAATGGACTGGATGACCTCTCTAGGTCCTGTCCAGTTCTAGTATCCTATGATTTTTTTTTTGAGTAATTAATCTTTGAAACAGTTTACCCAGTGTCATGGTGGATTCACCATCACTCACAATTTGTAAATCCGGACTGGGTGTTTGTTTCTAAAAGCTCCACTCGAAGAGTTATTCTGGGGCAGGTCTCTGGCCGGTGCCATATAAGAGGTCACAATTAGTGATTAGTTTATCACAATAAACTGTGGAATCTAAGAATGTGCGTACATGTGCACAATGGTGAGGGAATTATTCTTTCATGATGTAAGCACAGACAAGAAGTTGAACGTGTCAAAAACAACATGAAAAGCTTGACAGAGAAGAGACTGGCTACGTGCCTGTAACATGCAATTATACTTTTATCCCAGAGAGCTACCGCTACACATTTGAACTTGAGAGGTTCAAACCATACTTGTCAGGCTTTAGGTCCCGGTGGACAATGCCATAAGTGTGTAGGTACTCCAATGCCAGCACTGTCTCCGCAAAATACATCCTGGTCATATCAACAGGGAGGGCTCCGATATTCTTTAGGAGTGTGGCGCAATCTCCTCCTAGAAGAAAGTTGCAAACATCGCATGCTGAAAAGACATACGAGTACTAAGCTTCCACATTAGACAGGTAGATTTTCTGCCTTCTTAAACTGCATCTCTCTATACACAAAAGTTTCTTACCCATGGTCCTGTATTCTAAACACTATTTAGAAAATTTTTATTTCTACAATATCTGTGATTTACATTTCTCTAGTTTCTGTAAGGCCTTTCTGGATCTAAAGCACGTCACAAACCATATAAGTAGTCCCCAAGGCAAGGGATGGACTAGGGGACATTTTTGTCAGTGACATTTTGGCAAACTCTAGCTCATCAAAAAAAAGGAGCAGAGTGATGCCTTTGAGGTCCATGGATAGTGACAACGTTTCTAAGACTTTATAGGAGCCACTACAGGAGAGGAGAGTCCACAGAACTCAACGTATCTGAAGTGGAAAGGACGACGACTAAGCTGAACTTGGGAGGATTCAGGGAGTTTGGGTCTGTCTGCTTTGCATGACTACAGGGACCGACCTCTCGAGATCCCTTCCAGTCCTAGGATTCTGCGCTGCTAAGTCTACTAAGAAATGTTTTCTCCACTTTGGAGAGCCCGGACAAAAGTTTTCTCGCCTTTTTAAGGGAGCAGTCCAACTGTGTGCTGAGAAATGCTAGCAGGGTTTGGCTCAATGGCTGTATACTTTCATCTTCCAGGTTGGAAATGAATCTGGGATGGAAATAGCCACAAAGGCTGGCTGAATTTAAGCTCTATTTTTTTATTTCTTTTTGCTGTTTAAAGAATGCTGCATCACAGCTTAATATGGCCAACTCTATTGGCAAAATAAGAGTTTATTCTAAATGTGTCAACCTGTCAATCAATAAATTCTGCCTCCGTCTCTCTAAACTGTCAGAGACACAATAGCGCTAGTTTCCACCTTGTGGTTATTCAGTTAGTCCACACACAGAAGCCAGGCACAGGAAATTAGTTCTATATACCAATGGAAATATATTGTTTACATTAAGATAGAACTATGAAGCAAAACCAACTAATAGTCAACTGGAATAAATGAGGCAGAAGAGACAGGACCTTAATACTAACCAAATGAGGACCTAGATCATCCCCGCCAATGACCAAATCCCCCCAGAGATACCTGCCAGGAAGTCTCTGCAGCCATGCTCCTATAGAGACCTCCCCATTGGCTCTAGCCCCCACAGCTTCCCTGCACGTGGTTCTGTGAAGGTGCACCGTTGTGGCAGACCTGCTATGCTGCCACTGGGGCCCATGGAGTGGACGTTTCCCCATGCCATATATTACACTTCCAGGCTGGACTGACTTTTCTGACCCATCTTTGCACCATGGTCCCAGCTGATCTCCGTTCCCTCCCTCACATGTGGAGCTCAGACCCGCAGAGTCCCCAGGAACAAATGGTGCTGTGGAGGGTCTGGACCCTCTTCTGTGTAGACATGAGCAGACCCATACGTGAAGGGTCTACCCACATGTCATCTTGGGAATCCAACGTAGGCCTATTTTGTCCTCAACGTTCAATTCTAGAGAATAATGGTGGGTGACCCTAAAGACCATCTGTAAAACATTCGGAGATACCACAGCATGAAAGTCAGTCTCTCACTCTATATACATACATACATACATACATACATAGAATCATAGAATAATAGGACTGGAAGGGACCTCAAGAGGTCATCGAGTCCAGCCCCCCGCCCTCAAGGCAGGACCAAGCTCCGTCTACACCATCCCTATACATACACACACACACAAATAATTATTGCCACTATGTAAAATTAATGGTGTTTAAAACAAACATTCAGTAATACAGCCAGATATTCAGGCCTGAGACAAATACCTTCCACGTACTCCATAACCATGCACAGGTGGCGTTTAGTCTCGAAGGAGCAGAACATACTGACTACAAAGGGGTTCTCAGCAAAGGTCAGGATGTCTCTCTCCACAAAGGCCTGCTGGATCTGGTTTCTCAAAATTAGGTTCTGTTTGTTGATCTTCTTCATGGCAAAGCGCTGGCGGGTAGTCTTGTGCCGTACCAAATACACAGCCCTACAAAACAACCAAAGGGTTATTACCTGCAGATGAGACCATTTCAAAACCAATGGAGTGCAGGTCATTACAGCATCTCTGACTACACAGAACATCTGTAGGGCCAAACACTGTGACAGAACAAGAACTCTCTATGCTTTTCCTCAGTCAGAAATGAGGCAAGGCTATGCCGACTTTTTCACATACATAAGATTCCCAGCAGGGAGGCTAGCTCAGCCTGAAATGAAAGGAAAGCTTTTGCAACTTTGCAAAAACAACAAGAAGTCCTGTAGCACCTTACAGACTAACAGATTTATTGGAGCATCAGCTTTTGTGGGCAAAGACCCGCTTCGTCAGATGCAGTGGGTCTTTGCCCACGAAAACTTATGCTCCAATAAATCTGTTAGTCTATAAGGTGCCACAAGACTTCTCATTTTTGCATTCAGACTAACACGGCTTCTCCTCTGATTCTTGCAGCAACTTTGAGACTCTTACACGGTAACATTAAAATTGCATTTCCTCCATCGGCAATAGCATGAGGGCCCTGTGTGATTTTACCAGGAATCTCACACTACTGTGGCGCTTTCAGCTGTCCAGACAACTCACAGAGAATGTAGCACACAAGCCTGGGTACACAGGGAGAGGCACATACTGGTCATCATTTCGGTATATTCCAGAATCACCTGTCAACTGAAATGTGACCTAAAATTAATGAGATCAGGGCAACTTGCTTCCAAGCTCCACGAACTAGAGCTAGATTGGCTGAAACACGATGCAGGATTTCCTATGCTCAAATACCCTTTTCACGTCTGTCATCTTCACCTCTTTAGCCGCACGTTAACGATACAGTTTGCAAAGAGGTTTTCCTTCTGTTTGCTTGCTCTATAGAATCAGCACTTACTCCCTTGTCTCTGGAGTGGCTTATTGTATTATATTGAACATAGGATCCTATTTCACAAGCAGTTAGGTATGGTACATATAGCAAGGACATGACTGTAAGCAAACCTCCGCTGACTGCTTAGTGTATATCTACACTGTAATTAGACACCTACGGCTGACCCAGGCTCATGGGGCTCGGGAGAAGAGGCCGTTTCTGTGTAATGTTGATGTTTAGGCTGCAGCCTGAGCTCGGGAACCCTCCGACCATGCAGGCGCTTAGAGACCACGCCCCATTTCAAGCCTTAACCTCTACACAGAGCTTTAAACTAAGTTCAATGAGGGCCGGTGACCAAATCCCGCAGGCCAGTCAAACACACAGAGACCTGGGAAAAGGGTCAGAACTTGGGGGTGGGGAGAAGCACGAGCTGTTACAGCATGAAACAAAGGGAGAGAAAAGACAAAACTGGAGAGCGAGAGGAGAAATCAAAACAGTATCTTAGTTGTCTGTATGTTAACGTGAGAAGTAGGGGGGATAAGCAAGAACTCAAAATGCTAGTAAATAAACACAACTATGACATAGTTGGCCTCACACACACAAAGTGGAATAATAATACACACGACTGCACTATTGGTATAGAAAGGCACAGCTTGCTAAGGAAAGATAGTCTGGGAAAAAAGGGAGGAGGTGTTGCCTTGTATATTAAAAACATATACACATGGACTGAGATTAAGAAGGGAACAGGAGACAGATTTGTTAAAAGTCTCTGCGTAAGGAAAAAAGGGGTAAAAATTAAGATTGATGTCATGATAGCAGTCAACGACAAACCACCCACCCAAGAAGAGGAGGTGAATGACTTTGTTTTTAAACTAACAAAATCATACAAAGCGCAGGACTTGGTGGACGACCCAGACATCTGATGGGAAACCAACACAGCAAGTTCTTGGACTGTACTGGAGACATTTTTTTTTTAATTTCAGAAGGTGGAGAAAGCTGCAGAAGGAGAGGCTGCTTCAGATTTCATTTTAACAAATAGGGATGAACTGGTTGAGAATTTGAAGGTGATCACAAAATGCTTTAATGCATGATTGTAAGACATGGTAGGAGAGAGAACAGCAAAATAAAAATCATGAATTTCAAGCCATTAGACTTTAGAAAACTCAGAGAGCTGGTAAGTAAGAGCCTATGGGAAGCAAGTCTCAGAGGAAACAGTCCAAGATGGCATTTTTTCAAAAAGACACTATTAAGGGCACAAAAGCAAACAATCCCACTGCGCAGCAAAAGTAGGAAGTATACCAAGAGACCACACTGGCTTAATCAGGAGATCTTCAATGACCCAGAAATCAAAAAGAATCCCACAAAAAGTAGAAACTGTGTCAAATTACAAAAGAATGACTATCAACAAATAACACAAGTATGTAGGGGCAAAATTAGAAAAATCAAGGCATGAGATCAAACCAGCTAGAGACATACAGGATAAAAAGAAAATATTCTACAAAAACATTAGAAGAGGAAGATCAAAAACAGGAGAGGCATGTCACTTAACAGGGTGCGGGGAATAATAAAAAAAATGTGAAAATGGCAGAGATGCTTAATGACTTCTTTGTTTTGCTTTTCACCAAGAAGGTTGGTGGCGATTGGACATCTAACATAGTGAATGGCAGTGAAAATGAGGTCAGATCAGAAGCCAAAATAGGGAAACAAACAATTTAAAAATTACTTGGACAAGTCTGCAGATGAAACTAAGCTGAGAGTGGCAAGTGCTTTGGAGGATGGGATTAAAATTCAAAATGATCTGGAGAAATGGTACGAAGCAAATAGGATGAAATTAAATAAAGAAAAATGCAAAATACTCCACTTAGGAAGGAACAGTTAGATGACTGCATACAGAATGGGAAATGACTGCCTAGGAAGGAGTTTTGTGAAAAGGGACCTGAGAGGCACAGTGGGCCACAAGCTAAAAACGAATCAACAGTGTAACACAGTTGCGAAAAAAGTGAACATGTCCTGTCCTCAGAAGTTAAGGTTAAGAAGCAATGGGCTTAAATTGCAGCAAGGGAGGTTGAGGTTGGACATTAGGAAAAACTTCCTACCTGTCAGGATGGTTGAACACTGGAATAAGTTGCCTGGGGAGATTGTGGAATCTCCATCACTGGAGAGTTTAAGAACAGGTTGGACAGACACCTGTCAGGGATGGTCTAGATCAGTAGTTCCCAACCACTGGTCTATGGACTGCTTCCGGTCCACAACCCACTGGCTGCCAGGCCACAGCGGCTGGG